AAGGCTCAGGACAAGTGTAGTGGCTTCTTGACCCGGCAGGTAAAATACCATATATCTGTGTCCAGGAGGGCAGTTTTCCTGAAGCACTACCCAGGAGAACTGCTCTTCTGGCATGATTTAGTACCCGCTGAGGTACAGCAGCTTTAAGCCCAGTTTCTGGAAATGGGAGTCTCCTCCCTTGCTTGCTCCGAGGGCCTTATGGCTACAGGTAAGCAAAACTCAGGGGCATCCGAACCCCAGGCCTCCAAGCTTGGACCTGCAAGTAGGATGCCCACCAAAGGTTTTGGAAACATCTGAAGCCCCAGGTGCAGGTGGAGGATGTTTGCCAGTAGCAGGACCACTTATGGTTCTGGACACTTGGATTTGGCATTGATTTGGGCTAACTTGGCCACAGATACAAATTAAAATAAATAAATAAATAAATAAATAAAATCATTTATCAAGTACATAGTTTAAAATAAAGAGCCGAGATTAGGCTGGGATTATTGGGCAAAATCCTTTTCAGGTCACCCCAAAACATCTCTCTACCACCAGGGTACTCTTTTGAGGCCTCTGCCCAAACAAAAGCTCGGTTTTCATGTGCTAGCCTGCCAACTCATGGCCCCAGAGGCCTGTGTGCTAAGTGCGTTGCCATGAATAAGAAATTGAGTTTGGGCTGGGATTATGGGGCAAAATCCTTTTCAGGTCACACCAAACCATATGTCTCTGCTACTGGAAGACTCTCCTGAAAAAGTCTGGGTAGGCCCCTACCGGACCTGAAGCTCAGTTTCTTTGCCAGCCTGCCATGTGCCAGCCCCCAAGGCATGTGCTAAACATTGCTATGAATAAAGAGCTGCATTTGGGCTGGAGTTATGTAGCAAAGCCCATTTTGGGTCACAACAAAACGCATGTCTCTACCATCAGGGGACTCTCCCTAAAAAGACTGGACAGAGTCCTGCCCAAACTGAAGCTCAGTTTTTGAGTGCCAACCTGACAATTGACAACCCCTTGGGCCCGTGTAATAAATACATTGTCCTGAATAAGGAGTGTCCTTCGCCGGGGTAAAACTAGTACCCCTCTCTAAGGCACTCTTCTGCACAAAGCCAATTGACACCCTAGAGGTTGCAGGTTATTTAACCACCTCCTAGCACTTGGCGATAACAGTGGCAGGTAGTTCCATCTACTGTAAGATGCAGTATCAGGTGAACTTGACCTGACCTGACCTGCATGTACAATGTTCTTAATTTCCTGTGAGTAAGGCTTTGGTATGTGTCACAGCGGGGTCCGTCAGGAGGGCCGTGTGCTCCTTAAGGTCCCTCGCTCCGTGTCAGGCCGGCCCAAGGCACCCTCTAATTCTCGCCCGACGTTATATA